TTTATTTTTTTCTTTAAATAACAACTTATATTCTATTACGAGGCCCGAGAGACAAATTCTCGGTTGTTATTGACACAACGTGCGAGTACACGCCAGCGCGGACAGAAAACGACTGATTATCCTTAAAACAGCCTAATAAATATCATCTAAAACAACATTTTTACCTGAATTAAAAACACTGAATTTATTTTCATGGTTATATATTTTTCATGCGATAGAAAAAAATAATAACTAGTTACTGAAGGTAGGTATGAAACGTTAATAATAACTTCAACATAACCACCGTCTTTGATTTGCACAGGACAAGAAGTAATCAATCCTCTGTCGAGCTGGGGTGACACGTCACAAAAAATAAAAGGAATATTTTGATAACTGGGAAAGAGAGAAGGAAAGGGTTAGGACGTAGCACTTCAGAAACCAGCACAACAGTGTATTTTCACGTGAAAGAGGGAGGGATCTTTATAGGGATGCTTTAAAAGATGCGGAAAATAGAAAAGGGCGCCGCTAGAGGGCGGCTACAGAAAATGGTTGTAAAAAATGATGTAGGCCACATAAGAAGCCTTATGTAAAAAAAAGAGTAAGAAATAAAATGGTAAGAAGCTACAATTATTTACTTATTGAAATGGATGTTAAAAAAATATGAATGAGCGTCTGGGTGTTTGAAAACACTTCCCGCTACAACATTACAAAGTGTACATAACTGAGGCTTTTAATAGAGAGGCATATACTGCACCAGCGTCTACTGCAAACACCAAAACACTATTTTCAATTTAAAGTAAATATATAATACTGACAGCAAAAATATTTATTTTTTCTTTAAATAACAACTTATATTCTATTACGAGGCCCGAGAGACAAATTCTCGGTTGTTATTGACACAACGTGCGAGTACACGCCAGCGCGGACAGAAAACGACTGATTATCCTTAAAACAGCCTAATAAATATCATCTAAAACAACATTTTTACCTGAATTAAAAACACTGAATTTATTTTCATGGTTATATATTTTTCATGCGATAGAAAAAAATAATAACTAGTTACTGAAGGTAGGTATGAAACGTTAATAATAACTTCAACATAACCACCGTCTTTGATTTGCACAGGACAAGAAGTAATCAATCCTCTGTCGAGCTGGGGTGACACGTCACAAAAAATAAAAGGAATATTTTGATAACTGGGAAAGAGAGAAGGAAAGGGTTAGGACGTAGCACTTCAGAAACCAGCACAACAGTGTATTTTCACGTGAAAGAGGGAGGGATCTTTATAGGGATGCTTTAAAAGATGCGGAAAATAGAAAAGGGCGCCGCTAGAGGGCGGCTACAGAAAATGGTTGTAAAAAATGATGTAGGCCACATAAGAAGCCTTATGTAAAAAAAAGAGTAAGAAATAAAATGGTAAGAAGCTACAATTATTTACTTATTGAAATGGATGTTAAAAAAATATGAATGAGCGTCTGGGTGTTTGAAAACACTTCCCGCTACAACATTACAAAGTGTACATAACTGAGGCTTTTAATAGAGAGGCATATACTGCACCAGCGTCTACTGCAAACACCAAAACACTATTTTCAATTTAAAGTAAATATATAATACTGACAGCAAAAAATATATTTTTTTTTACATTTTTACAACCTGGTGTAGATGCAAAATATATAATTTATTTATTTTTTCCAGTGACTGGAGGTGATACAACAGGGTTTTTCAATAATTTAACCTCATTATTCTGCACACACATGTTGTACCCATGAACCACGCCCCCTTTCGCAACGTGGACCAATGAGAATCACGGAGAATCACCGGACGGACTCAATGGAAGGCTTGTAATTGGCTGGAGGGCGTTGGAAGACGCTGATTGGATGAGGTACTGTTAAGGGCGGTACTGGGAGATGGCAGCTTCCCACTAAGCACAATCCGGTGTCGGGCAGCGAACTAGAGGAAAGAAGAAAAGGTCATTTATTTATTTTGTCATTATTCTTGTATTGGTTATATGACCATCTTAATCATATACAGCAAGCATCATTCCATGTTCTACAAAAATAAAGAAATAAGAATACACGTAAAACGAACCCTATATCAGGTTAAAAAAAATATATTAATAACCCCAGGAAGTCAAACGCAAACAACCTGGGACGGAGGCAAGGAACCACAATGACACTTACCGCAGTTGCCGAGCCTGTACGCGTGGCCCTCGGGACAGGTGTGGCAGCAGAGTTGGGGATCGGCCTTGAAGTTGCTCTTGTTCTTGACGGGGAGAACCAGGGCAATGTTGTCGTAATCGATGAGGGTCATGAAGGCGTTGTCCTCGGTCACGGTGAACACGGCCTCACGCACCAGGTCGATGAAGCCGGACTGGTCGGTGATGTTGTACACGGGGGTGTCGATGGTGATGATGACTTCGCTCAGCTTGCTGCCTTCTTCATCGAGCTGCGGAAGGAGGCGATTGGGTTAAAATGGTTTGCCGCGACGTTGGCATGTGAAAATATAAGCACATTAAAAATATATATTTCTGATGCGATAATTATAATCACTTTTAATATCAACCCCACTCTTGTGACTTAATCGACTTATTCTTCATATCTTTCTTTTAATGTTTATTAATCAAGACTCACTTTCTCCTCCCTATCTCCTTCTCTCATCCCAACATTACTAACCACCCAACAACACTTACAGAGCTCTTGATCTGGAGGTCGCCGATGCCGCACTCCTCGGGGTAGGGGCAGAAGATGTCGTTGTACTTGTAGACGAGGCCATCGAACTGGTGCTGCAGGTTCTCGATGCTGGAGCGCTTGTACACGATCTTGAACTGCAGGTTGGCGGAGAACACGGGTACGATTTCTGCAAGAGCACAGGAAAATCAATAAATAAAATGCTGAACTTATAAAATATTTGTCAAGAAGGAGACGGGTTTGTAACATGACTATTCAAGGAAGGGGATGCAGATTTTTTTTGTATCACAAGATATAAGAGCAATGATATGTAAGATTTAGTGTGCTATGAGGAGGATGGATGATGGATGATGGTGATGGTAATGGAGATGAAGATGGTGATGAAGAGGAGAAAGAGATGGGGTTATGGGAGTGAAATGGAAGACGCGTGCATAAAAAGGTAGAGAAAGTAAGTTGAAGGAAAGCAACAAGACACGCACAAAAGAACAAAAAAACAGCGACAAAAACGTATGACTGAGGAACTCGGGTACAAACAAGTTAAAGTGTCAGAAGTGCTGTGTGTCAAGTTACGGTGTCATGGCGCGGTACTCTGATCGAAAAAGGTTGTTAAAGTTCAATTCCTATCGAGGTGGACGTGGGCGATGACCCTTACAGACATAGAATATTGAAGATAAAGACACGAGGGCAAAGAAATGCGAAACAAGAAGAACCTTAACAAAGTGTAAGGAAGAAAGGCAAGGAAGAAAACGGGAAAGAACACGAGTCAAGAAAAACAAGAACAAGAAACGAAGAACGAGACACAGAACAAGTAAAGGGAAAGACGTGATGACGAAACAGAAACCTCCTGTCAGTGAGATCCGCGTATTCTGACCTTGTCTCCCGCCTCGCCATGCAACGGCGTTCAACACTCGACCTCGCAGGAAGCACCCCGAGGGAGGTCAGGTCACGTTATGGGTCAGGAGGCAGAGAGGGCGGACGGGTGGGTGAGGTGGGAAAGTGGGTGGGTGTGCAGGGGTTTGTAGGAAAGGGGGGGTGAAATGTCACGAGAGACTGCCTGGGGGAGACTATTGAAACTGTGTTTATGGGAGTCAGGGTCGAAGAGGAGAAAGAGTGAAGAGAACAGAAGAGAGAGTAAGGACGGATAGTAACATGAAAGCGAAAACCCACGGAAATGTTGCAGAGCGAGAATTCTTGGCAGAGGTGAAAGATATTTTGTTGCGTATTATGAACATTATCATTAAAACCACTCATAAGGCGAGTATACGAGAGCAAGCGTGTGTTTGAAGGAGGTGGAGTGGGGTAAGGGGGATGGGGGGGGGGGCAAGCTGTCTATCTCCAGTCCAGTCTTGCGTGTGAGTCATTCATAAAACATGAATGAATGCACCAGGGTACATGCCATGCTCTAAATAAGTCGAAACGAAGCTCTGACTTTGAGTGGTGGGTCTGCGACCGATGTCCGCAGAATATGATAAATCACCAGTCATATAGAATAATAAACAAGAACGAAAGAAGAAGAAGGGAAGGAGAAAAGAAGGAAAGCCAGAGATGCGAAGGAAGAGTCCTGTAAGTGAAAGTCACTCCATCCACTCTGGACTGAACGCGTCGTTGTCAAAGGCGTCTCTTCTTCCTTTCGATAAAAATAAAAGAGAAAAAAAAGAGGAAAGGCTAATGAAAAAGCCAATAATAGACGAGAGAAGACTCGCTATTGAATGCGTTAAAAGTCACGTTGGCCGAAGGGGAGGAATTTAGCCTCTGTGAGAAAGGTTACGGACTCGCTTTATGTGCGCAAACTAAATTCTTAATCTCAGTATTTTCTTGGCCTCTCCTTATTCAATTACTCTAATGCACGTTTTGGTATTTTTATTCCGGCTTGTAATAAAGGGCTTTGAATGAGAGTGAAAGCTTTCCTCTATAAGGAAGGCTTCGAAGAAAGACCCTTTCCAAAGCCCTTTCAAATTTCGGTGCAGGTTACTTCAATAGCCTCTTCAAGGGATCCGAAAATTATAGAAAAAACTACCGAAGTAATGGTTTCCTGCTTCTATTGATGAAGAAACCGAACCTCTTAATGTTATTTACAAGGAGAACTATAACGTGTGCACAGCGAGTTTTTGTTATGCAAAGAGGGACATGGTCCACGATAACACAGGTTCGCGGAAGGGGTTGAGTCGGGGAGGAGGAGGAGGAAAAGGGGTGTGGTGGCGGCCCGATATCTGATGGGCGAGGTCAATACAGGTCGTGCGGACTCGGGGTGACCGGGTTTCACTTTTCTCGACCTTAGAGAAAAGAAAGAAACTGAAAGGAAAGCTGCCCTGGGTCGTGGAGAGGAAAGTGGCTTTGTTGAGTGTGAAAGAGAAAGGAAAAGTAATGTATGTGAACACACGGCTGTGTTTACGTGTGGTGGGTAAAAAAAAAGACGTGACTCGCTCTAGAATGGGTAACTGTCGTTTAACATACGGGTGAATGAATGAGTAGACAAAAAAACTGATACCTGACAAAGTTTAAAGAATATCACGCTAGAAAGGTGAGAAAAGAAAAAGACGGAGAGGAGAAAGTGCGTAGTAACAAGAAGAATGTGGGCGTGAAATGCTTGTGTGGGCGCGCGAGGGGAAGGCAAGAGACCCAGGAGTAAGGGGGTGAATAGGGTCATGTGTGTGAGAGCGAGAGAGAGAGAGAGAGAAAACATTCTGCAGTCGGATTCCATGAAGCGAATAACCGATAGAATGATGTGCATTTATATTTTTGTCTTCTGGGTCAATTGTCATCTTGTGCGCCCTGTCTTGGCCCGGCCTTTCACAAAAGGGGTGCAAGAAAGTGTGAGTCTTATGACCTGTGAGCATAGAGGCGACATCGGGTGATCAAAGTCCCACGAGGATACCATCAGAGAAAGTCTCCGAGGACATTGCACTGGAAGATGGGTCGATCTGTCACTTGTCGAACGGCGTAATCGACAGCTCGAGTGGAAGTGAAAAAGGATGATAAGATGTCCTGAAGTTACAGCTCAAGCGACGCCAGTCTTTGGGACCGAAGAGCTGGCGTCGGAAGCCTAATAAGGCGAGGTTAGAAAACGTCTTTGGGCGAAGAGGCACAAAGGGAGAGGCATCCCGGAGGAATCTTTAGCTGAGGAGAATATTAAGCCTTCGTGTGCGCGTATGTGTATGAGTGTGACCTCAATAAGGGGCTATGCCGCTTGTTAACACAGTGCTAGTCTGGCATGGCCCCGAGGGAATGGCACAGTGCATGAGTCTGCATGTAAAGTTGTCTGGCGAGTCTGGGAACACACGCTTGCCATGCATAACACACATGCCAAAGCACAGGCTTCCGGGTGTCATGAAAAGTGGTGCTGGGAAAGAAAAGGTTCGAAGGCAAGACTGTAGATGACCCAAATTCCACGAGCATGCACGAGGGAGGGAAATCGAACTAAAAAAAGGATAAGAACGAGGCTAAAAAAGGTGAGAGGTGAAAGGCATAATGAGGGAAAGGGACAGGGAAATAATCTTCCTAACGCAAGGGTGTCGGGGGGGAAAGGAGCAAGAAGCTTGTGTGTCTTGGATGAGTCTCAAGTAAGACGGGTCACAGCATCAGCTGGCATGGATTAGGGGCGGGGGTGAGGGGGGGGGGTGTTGAGAGGGGGTGGGAGGGAGCAGGAGGGGACAGGAGGGGGTAGGGAGTTGGGGAGGGGACGGTGCAAGTTGCAACTGATGGAGGAGAGGAAGGGGGAGGGGTGGGAAACCGGTCGGCGGTGTGTAGTGTTTACTTTCTCGGTATTCTAGACTCTTGGAGATAGGTGGGGTGGGGGGAGGGGTTAGAGCATTTTAAGGAAAACAGCGCCACTCGCCATGAAAGTCCTTTGTGAATTTCCAGTAGGAAGAATTCGTATTTCAAAAGAGAGAGAAAAGAATAATATAAATCTGGAGTTGACTGGGCATGAGCAAGGCACTGGTAAGCAGATATGAACGTGTATATGTTTGTACGTACACACGCATACATAACAATTTCCTTTAAGTGTGCGTGTGTATATGAGCAAGCTTATCAAGAGGAATGACCAAGCAAGAGACGGTCGGTGAAGGTTGTTTGTTGACCTCGGTTTGACCTCGTTTGGCACCGGGCACTGATCCAAGTGGACGCCAGCGCACTCAATCTGCCGGAGCTGAGTGGGAACCCGATACACGAAGACCGAGAAAGGTGTGTGAATGTGAACAGTGGAAATTTTGTGAAGACTAGGCCTACCCAATGAGGAAATAGATAGGTAATATCTCTCATGGGAATAGGGTGATGGTAAGTGTCGATGACCTATCTAGAGAGTGAATGGGGTAGAAGGGTAAGGGTCAAAGGTCGAAGGAATGATGGATTAAGAAGTGCCAAAAGCCTATTTTTACAAAGGAGTAGGTGATTTTATGGTGAATATCGTGTGAGAATAACAAATGGGAAGAGATATAATACCATTTGTTTACAAGCGCGAAACAAAAGAACAGAATGGAGAACACAGATTGCTGCAGTTCGTGTCAAGAACCGCCATGTTTATGAAAGTCAAATGGTGATTTTTTCCCATTCCTTCTCATTCTTTTTTGTTTCATGACTCTATTGCTGGTCAAGGTACATCATTGCAAAATGTGCAACCTGATTTGTAATTAGGTAATCCGATAGAATCAGCAGCAGAGAAAGAGAAAAAGGGAGAGGGGCGAGGTGAAGGGGAAGGAAGTGAAAGATAAAGGATAGAAAGAAGAAAAGCGAGAAGAGGAGGAGACGAATAGAAAAAAAAAAAATATATGAAGCAATTGAAGGAGGTGGAGGAGGAAGAGATGAGAGCAAGAAAAAGAAAAACGAAAAAAAAAAACCCGAGGAAGGAGACAACCAAAGAAGGAAAAGACCGAAAGGGAAAAAAGTAGTACATTATCGTACTTCTTGCATGCGGCTCGGACTTTCAACCGCCACTCGAACTATTATCGTAACGACTTATTAGCTGTTGGTCATCGTGTTCGGTCGTCGGCGCTGTTACGTCACGACAGACACGCCAACGTCTAATAAATCCTTTTGCAAAAGACTAATTACTAGTGGAGAGAGAAACAAAGCGAGAGAGAAAGGAGTGCAGGAAATGGTGATAGAGTGGGTGAAATGAAAAAAAGTAGTACATTATCGTACTTCTTGCATGCGGCTCGGACTTTCAACCGCCACTCGAACTATTATCGTAACGACTTATTAGCTGTTGGTCATCGTGTTCGGTCTCGTCGGCGCTGTTACGTCACGACAGACACGCCAACGTCTAATAAATCCTTTTGCAAAAGACTAATTACTAGTGGAGAGAGAAACAAAGCGAGAGAGAAAGGAGTGCAGGAAATGGTGATAGAGTGGGTGAAATAATGAAAAAAAAATGTTAAACAAATTATGCAACAGGTTGGTGATCGAATCTGAGTGAGTGAGAAACAGAGAAAACAAATGCGTGGCGGAATGAATTAAATGAATAAATAACAATAAACTAAATAGATGAATGGAATGACTGAATAAAACACCAATACCAAACAACCCTTGCATGCCCCACTTACCGTAACACTCTGGAGCCTTTCCAGCGGGAGCCCAGATGCCGCCCTGGTCGCAGGAGTACTTGGGGGCAGGCTTCTCGAAGAATCCGTAGCCGAGCTCGCAAACGGCCTCGCACATGGATCCTGCAGAAGGAGAGGGAGGAAAAAAAAACGGCGTTAGAGACATATAGACTGGGAGGGAAAAGGATGGATAAATGAAGGGAGAAGGGAGAGGGAGGGATGTAGGGACGAAGTGCACGGCAAAGGGGAAGGGAAAAGGGAGAGTAGGGAGGGGGTAAGGGGAGAAAGAGAGAGAGAGAAAAAAAACAAAGAATGGGGGTGGAAACAGGAGCAAAAACAATACAAAGGGGAACAGAAACAAAATACTAGATCTTAATGC